TAAAAAATGGTGAAAAAAAAACGACTAAAAGGCTAGAATGTTTGTGGTCCTATGTATGTTAATGAGAGCACATTCCACCATAGAAAACTGTTTGGCTTACTCTAGAATTGACGATCTGGTTATGACGAGTCTTTCTGTATGCTCCTGATAAACTCGCAGCTCCTGCTGACAAAGTCAACACTCCCCTGGCCACAAAAAAAACAAAACATTTTCTCAAAGGCCACAGGGTTTGTATTTTCTGAAACAATTGCTTGAAATTACCCATGATCCTTTGTTTCTCCTGTCCCATGCTGCTCTTATTTGTTAGATAGGACCTAAGGGGGCATACAGATGGAAGCTCTCAGGCCAAAGCTTTCTAGCCATCACGCTGCCATTTTGTATCAAATTCTGTCTTTAATTTAAACTCTTCAGATCGTGGAAAATAAGGTGTTGTGTCCGGTTGTTATGTTTCAAGAAATACAGGTGGAAACACTTTTCAGATTGATGTCATATTGTGTGCATTGCATTGTGGGTAGAGTGTACCAACTAGTGTTGTGTACAGGGATGTCATGTATTTGTGTTAGATTGTGTTACAGACTTTAGGATATGTAGGCCCAATTTATATCAGTCTGAGAATGCAACAGGAGTATATACCTACACAATATAAATTGCACAAAACTTTATAAAGTCGTGTGGAATACAACATGTATTGAACAAGTGCTAAAGAAAAAAAAGTACAACAATTTACCGACTATTCTTTCATAAATTGTCAGGGACATGCATGCAGCTGCACTACTGTATTTGCTCTGTTAAAAGTACATTTGCTTATGAACTCAGAAAATCACATTTATGTTTGCAGTGGATAATTTTACTGCAGTAGGGATATTTTGACCTGTTTCAATCTTAATCAACTGTTTACCACAATGTTTGTTGAGTATGTGCTTTACTTTGTTTCCACCCACAATGCTTTGCAAACATAAACATGGCGTTTACATTTATTTTAAAATTGAGTTGTTTCCGTTTTCATTCTGTGTGGTTGTTTTTTTGACATTATCAATTTAACAAACCAGAAATGTGGCTCACAGAATAGTAGGCACTGATAACAGAATTTGATACACATGCCATGTTTTGCTTGTAGAATTCATGAAGGAATCAAACCCAACAGTTTGTTTCTTTCTCAGTCTTTGTAATCCTTGATACATGAATACACATTAGGGGCATTGCAATTGACTTGGATTTGTTTTTCTGTTTCCACTTTCTAGCAGGACGTCATGGTCGTAGGGGAGCCCTCACTGATGGGCGGTGAGTTTGGTGAAGAAGACGAACGGCTAATCACCAGACTACAGAATACCCAGTATGATGCAACCAATGGCATAGATGGTGACGAAGAGTTTGAAAACTCAAATCAAAGTCCCTGGAACTCTGAACAGAAAGTACCCACAACGGTGTCGGCCCCTACTCCACAAGATCAAGAAAAAACAAGCGCCGCAACAGAGTGAAACAACACACACTGAAAGTTTCCCCTTTTTTTTATAATAAAAAGAAATGTTGCAAGAATGGTTCTGCACACTCAGGAAGATGAACGTTTCAAAGTAAATTGAATGTATTATTTTTTAGTTTCTAGGGAGGGAGAATATCTTTGGAACTTTACATTTAAAGTAAACTGTTGAGGCAGTGGTTATGAAAACAGTGTGGGTGCAGATTGTGGTGCCTGAGGGGACTATTGCATATTTTTTTAAAGTATTTAAATGGACAAATATTACTTTTTGTCACTTTATATCTTCATGTACATATTTCTTAAAAGAAAGAGCTTAAAAACAAAAAACTAGGTTGTCTGGATAGTGGTAGTGAAAATGAAGAGGATTTGAAGTTGTTTTCGATGTTACTGTTGAATTGATCTTATGTTTTACCCCACTCTATTAAACAGTTCATTCAAGTAAGAGTTGTTGGGTGATTCCATACTGTGTTATCTTTGAGGGATTGAAGAGAGAGGGGGAGGGGAGGGGAGGGGGATTGTTCTATAGCCAGCTGGATATATTAATAAAATAAATTTTGTGTGCAATTATAACAGAATTAAAGCCAGATTGGTTCTTGTGCAGGCAGGGTTAAGCAGTGCAGGCGGGCAACATTAATTAATGCTGATACTATTTATTATAAATCGGTTCCAGTATTATCTGTTTATCAAATATCTACCTTTAATACAGTGTGGGAAATTTTGTTTCAACTTCCATTTAGTGTACCATATTTCAGGATGACTGTGTTTATTACAAGTATCGCAAACAGTGTAGTCATGCATGGATACGTCACTCAACGACTTCATGACAGTGTTGTCAGTTGGAAATGCACAAGATGCAACTTTACAAAAGACTCATTTTTTTGTGACTTCCCACAGTTATCTTTGCTTTTTGGGCTTGTTAATTTATGAAAATTCTTGCCAACAACCAAGAATAGTTTTTTTCTTATGCATAAATGGAACTTGTACAATATACAAATTTGAAAGCACATATATACATTATATCCGCGACCTCTACAAGTCATGGGAGAGGTCTGAGTGTTTAGTACAGATGTCACAGTTAATGTAAACTGCTTTTATTTTCAAAAGACAAGTTTTTACAAATTGTGTCTTTTGTGGGGATCTTTGCCCAATTGCCAAGGGTTTACAAGAATGCTACTGTGATGCGACTCGCCAACAAATGTATATTTAGAGGTTTGAAACTGATGCCGTAAATTAATTTTCATAAAACAGACTTGAAAACTGGAGCTGAATGCCCGTTTTCTGGGAAAATATCGACTACCGGGTACTGGTAAATTCTGATCAATATACTGATAATTTAGAAACTGTTGATGCAGTGACAGAAGCCTAGAGTAAAATTGCATGTTATATGCAGAATCTTTAAAATATTGATCAGTCATAATTCATTTTGGAGAAATTCCCCAAAAGTAATAGTGTCACAAGTTAACATGTACTACAGTAGCAATATGCTGGCAGTTAGATGGTTTGATACACTCTGATCTAATAAAGATAATTTGGAAAAAGTATATTACACTTCTATCTTACACTAGTTTAATTGCTACTATGACAAACAAAAAAATAATTTAGATTCTGGAAAATGCTGGTCTATTTTCTGTCAAAATGTATTTAATTTCACTACTCTGTTACTAATTTGCATTTTGACTGTCCTACCACATAATTGTTTTTTTTTTTCTTCTCAGAACAGCCAGTCAACTCTCTGTAATAGTACATTTGTAGAGATGCATTGATTGGTTCTTATTAGTAAATTAATAGCTTTATCAGTGTTTTCTTTCCCTATTTAAATTTGGTTATATTATTCCTGTACTTTTTGCAACCTGTTTGAAAGATTTCAATGTGTATTTGTAACAGTATTTTTGTACATACTTTTATGGCTATACTTTGTTTACGCTGCCCTTGGAGATAAATCAGACATGAATTATTTGTATACCATGATTGAAAGTCCTGGAATTCAATTTGAAAAAAAAAAGTTATTTTCCAAAAATTTAGCAATTGTCTTGTTTAGCTGTAGCTGTGCTGTAATATATTGCATTATTGTTGAAAAATCGTATTCATTTGCGTATGTAGAGGGCATGTTTCAAAGTCAATAAAAAGTATAAAAAAAAATTGTGAAACATTTTCTCAAAAATACATTTGACTGTTCTGATTCATTCTTTGAGTACCTAGCTTTGATTGGTATATTTACCAAGTGTGAATGTGGTTTGCTGTGGTGATCCAACAAGTAAAATTTAAAAAAAATGCACGATATTATACTGCCATTTAACAGGTTTCACTACATGGCTGTCCTCCTTGACCATCAATTAATTGTTCATGTAAATCACATTAGAATTAGAACAAATGTACACTAATTTGCATATCTTTAAATGGTTCTAATCTGAGTAAAAAGGAAGAAAGAATCAGAAGTTTTAGGATTTAAAATTCAAATGGCATATTTCATTTATGAAATTCACAGAATAAACCGTAGCTATGAATATGAAAAACTTATAACCCACCCATAACCAAAACATCATTTATCAGTTTACAAGCAAAAGCATTTGAAATTCACATATCTGGAGACTGAATACCGTTGATGGATTTGTCTGGCCTGGGATTGAGCATCATATCTCCATTACTGCAATGGATTCACGTCAGTACAAACAACCTTTATATAAATCGGCTAATCTATGGTTAGTTATCCACTGTACCAACCATCTAGTCTCATGGAACAGGGGGTATCTCTTGTGGCACTAGCCTTCTAGTCCATCAAAATAAACATGCATTTGGCACATATCAATTAATACAAATCTCACATTAATTTTATTGGCTGGTATTAAATAGTATGGTAATACCACATTTCCCATTAGAAGGCTGATTTCTGTTTACCATCCTAAAGCTGCAGTTTGTCATTAATGCAAGTTTACACAATTCCAATAGAAAAAAAAATATGGTATACTAACAAAATGTGGCTTTGCAAGTATTTATTTCAGTAGCAGAAATTCACAGTTGATGCAAGCATTTCATACATATGGGTTTTATAACAGTAATAAGTGGAATTGTTACAGGTCTATATACTCAGCTCATGACACATGGCCATATTTCATTAAGTGAAAATTACAAGTTACCAGTGGAAGTGAATAAAAATGTAGCTTACTTTCTACTCATGATGCAAAACTATAAAAAAAGCCAGTGTATTTATAAAACAAACCCAAATAGAACAACTTTTAGAATATACATGCATCACATATCAGTAATTACAATTGTTCATGCAACCGTTGATTTCTAGTCAGCAGAAACAATATAGCGTGTATCTTGTCTATTAACAGATACACGTTAAATGAATTAGTACATACCATTGCAGAAACAGGACTGTATAAATCATTGTCATGTAATGATCAAGTAACCATGGATTTATTGAATTTGTATCCTGGCTTTAGTGACAAACAGAATTGTCAAAGTTGTCAATTTGAACCAGTACATTGATATTGCATACCAAGCCATAACAAAGTTTTGCTAATCAGCCAATTCAGATGTTGTGGTACAAGGGTAACTTCCATTAATTAAAAGTTCTGATATTCAAAATTTGAAGCAGTCAAATATCCATGATTCATGTCAGGTATACATGTCATGTTTAAAAGTTAGAAAGTAAGACACCACAAACTATAAATGTCCAGAAATATCTACTCTCCACTTGGATATTGGAGTAATTGGAAATTAAAGGGTTTTGACATATAAAAGCAAAAATTTGCCAACAAAGAATGTATTTAGACATGAAAAGTGAATGATTCTCATAAAATGGTTTATTTGTAATACAAGTATACATATCTCCATTACTGTACAAAGTAGCAATCCTAGAATTCTTGGTTTGTGGTGTTACATTGCAGATGCTAACTTATACAAATATATACCAAGCTGTACACATAAATAAATATATATCCCACCTTTGCTGATACACTGGGTAAACCACAGATAGCAAGTGATTTTAAAATGAACCAGTTGATTATTCAGAAAGGGGCGTCTGCACATGAAACACACAATCTCGATAAGCTTATTACAATGAACTAACAGTAATTTAACTGGTACTTAAAAAACCCACACAATCAAAACACATTACAGTTCATAATGCTTAAATCACTATGTAATTTCAGCACAATGGAAGGTAATGGCATCACTATACACTCATCCCCAACCAACACCTAGAATTCTTCATTTTAGTGACAAGCAAGCAGAAACCTCTACCTAGCTAGTGCGATTACAAACTTGATGGTTGGGGTATCTACGATTCATTCACATACTGTATTAATCGTACTGGTATTGGAATCCAGTCAAATTAACTAACAGCTTGTAACAGCATCATGGATTGCTGCAGCTATATGGTCACAGTTGCTATTGGTAACTGCACACATGTTGATACGACCATCCTGCATCAAGTACACATGGTATTTCTGGATTATGAAGTCAACTTGCTTGGCTGTTGAGATTTAAAAAAAAATAATCATCAGATTGCAACATTAGTGGCATGCCTTATCATGCGTGTTCAGTGGTATGGAACCACATTTGCTATGGATTTAGTATTTCCACCACAAATAAAACAAATGGATGCCACTGAATAAAGTGTATAATAACAATCAGTTGTCATAACCCCTTGACTGTCAACTTTTTTTTTTTTTACCAATAACATGCTTTCCGTATTATTTCCAAAATTGTTATCAAATACCTGTAATCAATGGGAAATTAAATTCATTTCCTGATTTGGGCACCCATGTATTGTTTTACAATACGGTAGCAATAAATGATGATCCAGGTATGCACACAATCATAACATACATGTATATCCAGACAACATTTTATGGTTTATCACTCCTCCACAGATGAATGGGAAAAAACAATGTCAACGATGTGTTAAATACAGGTTCGTTTTGAGAAAACTAATTTAACACAAGTCTTGTATTCATTTGTTGTATTAAACTATAATTTCCAAATAAGGAGTACATGCAGTAATTATATGTTATACACCGAGGGTATCAACAGCTAACAAACATTGTTAAGGTGATAACTCACATGTAAGACCAGTGTAACTGAACATTCCAATTTGATCTGTGATGTGATCCCAACTTCCTGGGGTGTTGAGTTGCTTGAGTTTCTGTTTCAGCAAAGCACGCATTGAGATGACACGCGACGACATGGTCCTGATTGCCTCTTTCCTAAAAAGGTAAAAATTAACAAGTTCTGCATTAGATATAGACATCAAGTTTAGACTTTTTACATACTATTAAATTAGTACACTGCTATAAATTGGTCAATTTTAATAAACAGGTTTCATTATTTGGATATCTAATCATATTTACAGGGGATTTTCCAGTCAGACATTAAGTTCTAATATAGATACAAGAGAATACAGGGAATGGCTAATGTAGCAAACATCAAATAGAATGATATTCAGTGCAACACATTTCCTAGGATGATGTACAGATCCACCATATTACACCTTTAGTGGTATGACAGAACCCCACTTTTGCCCACTTTAAACTAGATCACAAATACATGTGTATATGTATGGTATCCCAACATGTATTATATGTGAGTGTGAAGATTGATTGAACATAGGAAACGCTAATATACAGGGAACAATTTTAGAAGACCACAGTTGACTGTCCCTGTATTCTTTAGCGTCTTGTTATTTTACATACTCAAATTGATTTACATTAACCAATGATGTATAAAGCTTACCATTCAGCAAACAGAGATGGGTTGTTCAAAGTAGTAGCCACAATACGAGCACCATGATTGGGTGGATTAGACCACATGGGTCTGGCCAGCTTCTCAAGTTGTGACTGAACTCTCATAAGACTATCATTGTCTTGTGTCACAATGGCCAGGTTACCTACACGTTCATCTGCAAAATAAATAACTTATTTGTTAAAATATTAAAGTTGTACTCTGAGATTACTCACAATGTTGTATTAGCCTTAAACTTTGATAATATGCAAAATATTTAACAGTCTTAATTTGCACAAACTGCAAGTAAATATTTATTAAATGTACAAATAGCCTATTTTCAGTATGATGGAATGTTGGCATTTATTTGATGCTAACACTTGTGACTCGAGTTTCAATGTATGAAGATTTGCAGAGCCTACAGTAATACAGAACAAGACATAACTTGGGTCAATTACTTCCCTTAATTCACACATATTCAGAGCATCAACTGTTATCAACAGCCCAATAAAGCTCGGAAGCCACTGTTTTATTTATGTACCCAGTATGGAGGTTAATGAACTCAGAAACAGGGAGGTATGATGAACTCTTAGACAGTTAATGCCAGCCACCTTTTTGTTATGAGAAGTTTTGTCACAAAAATGATCTCAACTCAAGAACATGAAGTAAACTCACTGTAGAGTCCAAAGTTCTTGGAGAATGACTGAGAAACAAACAATTCAAATTCCTTCTTTACAAAGAGTCTGACTGAGCTTGCATCAGCATCCAAATCACCAGTAGCAAAGCCTTGGTATGCAATATCAAAGAATGGAAACAGTTTTTTTGCCTTTGGGAAAAAAAAAAAATATTAGAATACAAACTCTTACAATATACATCAAGTGCATGTTGCCTTTCCCAATCTAAGTTAGACAATGACTAAATACCATATTTTTCACCCAGTTACCTCAACTCAGGAAATCTTGATCTTCAAGAAGTAAATATTAATCAAGAATTTTACTATGCGCCAAGTTTGGATAAATATTACATGAAATGAAGTTTACCCATATATGCCCTCCCAATTAGTCATACTGTAATTAATTATTGGAAACATGAAATGATGTAAAACAACCAGATTTCATGATTAGTCAAATTTGATCCTAACTATGGAAATCATACAAAAGTGGGGACTGGGTACTTAATTGAACGGGTGTTAAGTCTGTCAAATACAGTAGGTTGAATAGGTGTTAAGTCTGGCAAATACAGTAGGTAAAACATACAGACTGAATTATGCAATAAAGGACAGGTCATGCAAAAACACAAAGACGCACAAATACAAGACATGTACTGTCTCATACACCTCAACAAATTTGAAAATAATAGACAGATTATGTATACCGCCATGACTTCAGCAATTTGTTCCCACTGTTCCTTTTTGGGATCCACGCCTGTTGGGTTATGAGCACAGCCATGGAGAATAACAACAGAGTGTTCAGGAGCATTCTGCAAAAAAAACAAATTGGTAAACATTACAAGGCTGCAATGCTACTTTAAAGATGAGATAAAAATAATATGACAATTTCAACAACACAATCATTTTATTTTCTCTAAATTTGATCATGTGATCAACAGTTTCTTAGGTATAAACGTCATACCCATTACTGATTATATTACTGATACAGGTCAGTTTTTGTGAATTGATATTTTTCTTAAGTTTTTAACTACTGTAGAATACTTTATTTTCGCTTGGAATTTATTTTCGCTATTTTCGCTGAATGGATGATTCCGTGAAAATAAAATCCAGCGAAAATACTTTTTTTCCTATATTTCACATTAAACTCATCAAAAATCAGTGAAAATAAATTCCATACAAAACGCCCCAAAAGCCTTTTCAGCGAAAATTAATTCCAGCGAAAATAAAGTATTCCACAGTATTTCTCAGACATGCTTTGACCATTTCAGTTCAAAGTAGAAACAAAGGCAAGACATGGTATACACAAGCGTGTTAATTTGTGTTTCATTTTGATGACCTCTGACCAACTTGATTGACATTCATCCCAAGAAACAAAATTTCTACATATCTCAAAAATAAGATTTAAATTGATGACATCATAAATTGGCTATTAAAAATTAGATAATCAATATGCATGGTTTTCAACTCATCACATCTTTGGATTACTTCAGAGTGGTGATTACCGTAAAAACTCGATTAATTCGTGGTAGTAAAAATAATAATTTTTTCAAGTGCACGAATTAATAGCGTAAAAACGGAAATTATTGGTTTTTGGTGCGCGAATTAAAAGAGTACTTTTTGATCGATTCAAAAAGGAGCCGTTTTCATAAATTTATTAGTGATTTGTTTTGTTTTCCAATGAACACGATTACAGGACGTTTTTTAGTGCCTCTGAGACTCGTGGCTAGCGACATTCATGGCGTATAGTTGGGCAGAGAACACGCACTGCGTCAAGAACCACGCACTATGTTACATGAAACAGTGAAATGGCAAAGGTCACTCTACACAAACAAACAATGAACACGTGGCTACAAAGTAGCCGTCTGGCTGCACTGCCTTTTTTTATTTTTCTAGGCATCGCCAGGGCGATGTTATGGCAGATATTACGAAGTCCATCTTGTCGGGAAAAATAACCCTACGTTGATAAAAATGGTCTCAGAAAATGTTTAGAAAAAATAATGTTTCGCGTTGACCAAATATAATCATGCAAAGTATAAATTCAAAGTGTTTTAATACATTGGTGAGAGGTCCCATCACTAAGAAGGAAAAGCAAGCCAAAGCAAAATCGAAACGGGGTGCATCATGGACATGGACATGACAACACACGCTGCGACAACTGAGTGATCAGCGACATCATTTTGGGACGCAATTGTACTTTTTTGAAAGAAACGCGGCGATGCTGACATCAAGTGTGTGTTGACCCATGGAGCTAGTACTATTTGGTCAACAGATAACACTTGACGGGTTTATGGGGGGATTAGTGGACGTGAATATTTAATTAGTCATGATCGGACGTTCTCGGATGAGTTCGGTCGTTATTACAAAGCAGGGTGAGGGACGAAAAAATCTTTAAAACGACTCAAGTAGGAAAAAAACATGGCCAGAATTACACAGTAACTTTTAAATTGGTGATGTGTAATACACAAGTAATTGTGATGGAATCAATGTAGTGGGGAACAAAGTATTGTTAACTTCCAACCCGCCACAATATAACTATCCCCCTATCCCTTAATATGAGCTATCCGCACAAATCAAAGCAACGCAACACATGTCAAATTCAATCGGCGATTGCCGGTTTGGCCGTGATATGCCGCTATTGGCACCTGCCCTCGCATGACATAGAAGAAGTCAGCTTACTATTTAACTAAATTTCGGCGTCCGCAGGGAAAGATTTTACGAAAAAAATAGAATTAACCGTAGCTCAAATTTAACGCGTCGTTTATCCAAAGCACGTGTTGTCTATGAGGGCCCACACAGGAAGTAGAATAGATGAACAGAAATGAAAAACGTGATTGTGAATTTGGCCATGGGAGCTCGAACTTCAATTCAAGCTTGTACATGGAAAACACTATATCAGTGGTAATTTTATCATCTGCGGCCAAGTATTTTTTTTAAAAATCAATATCTTGTGAGCAATGTTTTCGACATTGTAATAACTTGCTGAAAACCCGTCCGATTTCCATGACTCAAAGGCAGATCTGTAGAACTGACGACACTCTGAAGACGCGCATGTTCACCGACCTTTAATGTCAACTGCGCAGAACAAAAATGATCGTTACACCTCAGGAAGACGATGACGGCTGAATAATCAGTGTGACTGCAGATGGCAGAAGTCATCGACATGAAAGGCACGTAAACACAAAAGAATAATCAGCTTAAAACAAAAGACTCAAGTAGGATTAAAACCAGTTCAGTCTCCTTTTTTTAGCTCCATGCCGAACCTAAACTGCTTGCTAACTGGAAGGCTGTGATGACGGAGATCATCTGCGATTGCGGCGACACCAAGTACTGATAACATAAAATTATATGTATATTTTTAATGTCTTCATGCAATATATTCTGAGTTATCCACTTTATTCTGGCCCCCAAATTAATAGGATACAATTTTAAACATGTTTTTGAACGCCGCGAATTAAAAGGACACATTTAAAATTAGCGTCTGAAAATACAATGGGTGGGCGAACTAATAGAGACCGCGAATTAATCAAGTTTTTACGGTATTCATATTACGCAAATTAGGTAATTAATATGCACAGATTTCAAACCAATACTAATCAGGCTGGTTCATTGTTCCCAAGCACATATACACCAAGTTTCATTCAAATGTAATCTTTATTAATTATTATTTAAACCCAAAACTAATTGGTTTATTGCATTGTCTTATAGCATGTATGTACCAAGATTCATGAAAATACGATGCTTAGTTATGAATTATTACGCAAATAAGGTAATTTATATATTACGAATATTTTAATGTAAAAACAAATCGGGTCTGTGCAATGTGACAGAGCATCTATGTATCAGGTTTCATTGAAATGTGATGATTACCGGTAGTACATGTACATAAGATATCAGTGGACAAGTTGAAAATTAACTATAATAATTGTAAAACGTTGAAATAGCTACATGTATGTGCAATTTAGCAAATTTGACTCAATGCATCAATTAATAGAATCTTAATATAGGTAAAGTGCCAACAATCTCATTGTGAGAATATACTATATTTTAAATTAGGGACATCTTGAAAAGTAGCATGCTAGCTAAAAAGACACGTTTTACAGTAATTCTTATGTAAATTAGGTAATTACCGTAACATTAAGAAGTTTAACACAAAACTAAATAGGTCTGCATTTTCCTAGAGCATCTATGTACCAAATTTCATTGAGATATCTATGGTACAGACAGACAGACAGACAGACAGACAGACAGACAGTACATACATACATACATACATACATACATACATACATACATACATACAGAGTAACTGCAAAGACTTGGGTGTTGAGTAACACACAAAATGCAGAGAAATTATTTTAAACGATATCTTTCTTGCTTCTCTGGTGATTGTGTCTTTTCTTTTGCTTCTGCTATGTTTTTTTTATGTATGCCTGATTTCCAGTTTCCTATTAGGCTCACTTTATGTTGACATTATCTACAGTATTGCGTACTGTAGATTGCATTTGTAAATCTACTATTACCATCATCATCATTTAATACTTTATATTAGTGGGAATGACCACCATACTTACTCTCAAATCTTCTAGCATGCCATCAATGTTAAGAGCTTTAGTTTTGTCATCCCAATAACGATACTTCTTGATTTCAGTGAAATGAGCATCTCTGCCAATAGCCATGTGGTTGGCTGTAAGAATAAAAATCAGCAGAGAATATTTTTTATCTACATGTGATACTATCTTTGATCTAGAAAAGCTCATGAATACCAATGATTGACAAACAAAATAACATGACAAGCTGACAAATAAAGGAACAACTGACAAATAAAGGAATTGAATATGTGAAGATAAACCAATAAACTATCGCTACGTTCACGTTACGGGGCCTTGGCACGTGTCGAAAGTTTTAATCCTTCAGGTTTGGTGATGGACTACAGCAGTTGCTTTCATGTTAGTCGGAACCCACGAGGCTTCTGCTGAAATCACACCCTCATTCGTGGATCTGGTATTTGACCAAACATAGAAATGATATGCATATGACAATTGCTATATTGTAATTATATATAGCTTCACTTCCCTCCATCACCACATAAAAGTCCATCGCTACTAGTTTGAATCAATATGTTCTCTTAAATTTACCACCGAGAGTGTGCTTTTGGTTCATGCCAATTTCGGTGATTTTGGTTCAAATCTCGGCACGTGCTGACTCGGCCCAGAGTCAAGTGCTGAGATCTCTAACATGAATGCCACTTATGCTTCTCCTCACTAAGAAACTATTTCTCTTCACTAACAAAGTAAGAGTTCTCCCCAGACCTTTTTAACATGTTTTACCATACTTGGCCACTAAAATGCTATGCTGAACATGAAAAGGTTATAGATATGTTAATTATGTCTATTGTAACAAATACATATTCAAATTAGATATTAACATGCAAATTTCACAGCGAAAACGATTATAGAGAAATTGTGTCATAAATCTTGGAAATAAACTGATTACAAGTCGGTCTGTCATGATAAATATGGGTCGAATACTACATATATAACTCATGTAAAATGCATTGTTTACTCAATATTTGTAAAACAATGCACGACTGACAGTGATTCTAATGGCTATAATATAATCAGTTATTACTATTATTATAATCTGAATACTTACGCCAAGTGGGGTCAGAAACGTATACAGTTTTACTTTTTCCAAACCGTGACAGGAAGTCAATACCTAGACGCAGAGCACCAGTACCACTGAGAGCTTGGAATCCACCTGCCTTTAGAAGATATACAAATATTGAAATATAGAACCAGTTATAGGTAACAGTTTTACATCATGCATTATTGTTAAAACAGTTACCATACTCACTCGATTTTGTAAAAGAGCTGGGCTATCATCTCCTAGTGCTAGTCGAGTTGCAGCTTCGGTGAAAGTTTTTAAACCAGCAATGGGTAGGTATTCATGATCTAAGGTAGAATCGGCAGCCATCTGAGATTCCACAGTTCGGACAACTGGCAGCACCCATGGTTTACCTTCATCAGTTCGATATGCTACAAAAAAACAAGTTATCAGTAAGCTCAGGTCTTCATAATTGTATCAGAAGTTATTTTTTCTCAGTGTGGTTAGATCCAAAAACGATGTCAAACTTATTTCTTTGTTTTTTGACATTTTTTTTTATGAGAATGCAAATAAATTTAAGGTGAGAAAGAGAATACATGCACAGTATACCGAGTATGATAGCTTTTTAATGTCTTACAACACATGATCAAAGATTCTTGCAGGTTTCCTCGATTTTGCAGCAGTGCCACTAACAAATTGCAGTAACAGTAAGTAATACAAATGTAATTGTATCCCTTTGAGAAAGAATTGTCAGGGGACCATCTAAGAAGATAATTAATTAAAACATGTCAACTAGGTCATTCCAATTCATTCAAGCGTACATTTGGATTGAAGTTTGTGTCTGTTTGACCCACCCTCATCTTGTTTCAGAGTGAATGTTTTACCTGGTTCATTAATTGATTCATGTTTCGAGTCCAATTGTATGATTTTCGGTTCCAATGTAATGTTATCATTCGTGGTTGTCTTTCCAGCCCCGTCATTAGCTGTTAGCAGTGCCACAAAGAAGGTCCTGCCTCAGACAGCCAATTATAGTGATGTGTGTTGAGTGAAACCATGTTGCTATGAATATGTTAATGTATACTGATTTATCAACAAATGAAAGTAAGTTAATTAGCATGCAAATTAGCTAATCCATATGCAAAATCTAGCTGGGTGTCTTGTACAACCATAGACCCTCAACAAAGGGATAGGAAACAACACGAGACAACAAAGGATGTTTATTAATCAAGTGTACGCTGTTGTTTTGCATACTAATTATCTTGTCGTGTGCTCGACATCCAGATGACGTCATCAGCTGCGTGTACGTCCTGTCTCCTTATCAGTCTAGTCGATGCGACATACATGTTTGTCCACCCATTTTTTCCACAATCACCGACGCGACGCCTATAAAATTGACCAACAAATGTTTATTAGGTGTTTGCGGTCGCATTAATTGGCTGTATTTTGATAAATAGTGTAACTTTTCGAAAAAAAAAACTTTTGATGAGCGTCTCGTTGCGACTGTGTTGTCAAGCTTGACTTAAGCTGTCGCCATGTTTACTATTTGACACGAATTGAGGCGTTGCGTTGTCCACCCATTTTTCTCCCATCCATGAGTTCGACATCAATAAAACTAAAATAAATGATGTCCGTGTGTCCCCGTGCTCGCATTGACATGTGGCATTATTACAAATGTTTGGCAATTTTTTGAAAAAACGACCGTCATTCTCCCTGGTGTCTCAATGTATAGGGTGGTGTTTTATTTCGATCGCCATTTTGACCGTCGATGCGACATATATGTTTGTCCACCCATTTTTTCCCCACAATCACTGACGTGACGCCTATAAAATTGATCAAAAATATTTATTAGGTGTTTGCGGTCGCATTAATAGGTGGTATTTTGGTAAATAATGTGTAACCTTTCGAAAAAATGACTTAAATTAGTGACCGTGTGCTGACTTCCGCCATCGCCATGTTTAATTACTATTTGACTTGATTTGTGACGTTGCGTTGTCCATCCATTTTATCCACATGCATGAGGTCGACATCAATTCAAAATTTTTTTTTTTTGTACGAGTCCTTGTGCTTGCATTGACATGCAACATTTATTACAACCTCGAAAAACTCCTCGTCATCGCTAAAATATTCCCAAGCATTCTGATCGACCTCCATTTTGAAAATGATGCATGTAGCTATTTAGCATAATCTCGTTCTCGCGAAACCCCGTAAATCGTGAGAATTGATCTAATTACCATAATCGCGTTCGGGATTTTGCGAGATTTTTCGTGACCAGACGATGAGTTTACTAGTTAGTTTATTTGCGTTGTACACCGTTATGTAAACTCGCACTAATGTATTTTTAATTATGCAAAGCAACATCGTACAAAGAAAATAGCCTTGTTTCCTATCCCTTTGTTGAGGGTCTATGGTACAACACAAAGCATCTGTGTTAAAAAGTGCATCCCAGTCTACATAGCAGGATTATAGCTATAACATGAAAAATACCTGTCTAAAATCTATATTGAAAACAGTGAAATGCAAGATAGTATTGTACTCGTCTGATTTAGTGTCCAGGGTATTCAGCTTAAAAAAAACAGTCACAATTGACACTAATTGTTCCATGACTGGAATTCATGATTTTGATGGTTTAATATGGAGCATTTGGAAGGGATGTGTGCTTAGTCAAACGTGACTCTGGAAAACAAAGTCTCTCCTAAAGTGGGGGTGGGCGCTTAGTCGAGTATGCATACTAAATCGAACGAGTATGGTAGTTGCTGGTCTGTAGTCACAGAGTCTATTTTATATTGATTATTACTTATAGCCACTTTGTAAAAGCTGGAATTTTCAATCAAGGATTGACAGGTTTGTAGAAATTTAGCATGTTAAACAAAATTTTGCACCTGACAAAATTTACAGGCAGAGCGATGACTGGCTTAAACCCTACCACACAGTGGTTCTCAAGATATTGGCGGAACAAGATTTGACATACCGGTATGCGTGCTAACGCACACACGCACACGCACACATTCTTTCAAAAGTTATGGTAAAACTTTTTGGTGATCCGTTATTAGAATATGCTGAATTTTCTTATCAATATACAACGGCACACACAATTAAATTAATAGAACATAGTTTATCTGCATTTTGAGTTGCGACTAAAACAGCAAGCTACATTTTGTGCCAGCAAGCCTAATAAACTTCATTTGGTTCTTTTACAATCAGGACACAATTCTTAAAGGCATATATAGCATTGTGTTTAGTAACAGGTCACATGTCTTGTATAACAAAGCTACATTCTGTAAAGCACAACTTGTGTACTTCTGAACAAACATTTGGCAGACTCCCAATTTTATTCAGTCAAAAAAGAGAGCGTATTTTTAATTAACAATGCTTTAAGAGATTAAATTGAAATTATGCATTTCATAATATGGTAATGCATATGGGAGAGACTTTAATTTGAAAGTAATGGAAGCATACTCGTACATCACATATACTACAAACTGAGCTGAATGAAAATTTACTATAAATCTAACAATAATAGCATATATATATATTACCACATATTAATCAATTTTGCAGCTCATGTCACCAGAATATCAATAACTTCAATTTTCAAATCAGAAGAACGACTTTCACCATGCAAACCAATGCAAACACAAAGATATAATGCAAATTTTGCATTATGGATATTCGGACTCTTGTTCTTGGGGGGAAAAAATATCCAGTCACGAGCGCAACTACAATACTTTTTATTTACTGCATCATAATAACATTTTAATTTGATCCAAACCTATTATAATTACAACAAATCACTCGCAGACAGATATAAAAGAAGAGCAAGTTGACCTTATAGCTGTCCTTTGACCCAGATTTTAGTTACCATCAATTCGTTGAGTAACCAATCAGATGTTATATTACAGCTTGATGGAGGTCACAAAAAAGAAGGTGGATTAACTTACAAGGCAGTCAAACTAATCAAGCTCTTTCAGTACCGTAATTAGTAGATACTATGTAGTTGTCTCCAACACCGTTCAGTGAAACCATATGAATTATTCCAGCAATGCATCTTAAAATAGATCCTCAAACTACTGGTCACTATTACCAGAATTACCAGCTGTGTCACTGACAACAGTCAACTATGTCCATGGCAAATTGACATTTAGACATTTTCAAACTTAACAGGACCACAGTAACATATGCAATTAATATGAAAATGTTATAACAAACCAGGAACATGAAAATAAAAACCATGAACTGGTCTATGTGGACATGAACCTTTAAGCTCCAAACAAAACACAAATGACAAAAATTGGTATTGTGGGACATCTCTCATCACGGGCACACACTTAACTAAAAATATCTAGTCAAATGCCATCCTTAATTCACTGTGATATAGGTTTGAATATACATGTAATATTGTTCATAAAAGTGGCATTTAATCATGAAATGGGACTCGTCTTCTACTTTGTTATTTAAACACAGTTCACAGATTCTTTTTCCTATTTCGGTTTTTGGTTTGGTGTACCTCCCTGTTTCAATTTTTAGTTTATGATTGCTCAGACAGAACCTACTTAGACATTCACGTAGTTCGGCATTCTTTATTTTGATCATATAATTTTCTAAAGTAAATTAATTTTTGAAATTTTTTTGTACGTTCAGAGTTTATTCCTTCTGTTATTGTTATTTTGGTTATCATCAGTCCTTATGTTAATTTCCCATATCCAGTTTAATTTATATATTTTTTCAACTTCTAAATTTAATTTTTTGATTTCTCTGTCCTTCAGTATACCGGTAGTTGTTGTTTCAATAATTTGTGGTTGGTTTATTTCAGTTAACAGTTGAGATGCATAGTATATGAATGTGCTCAATGAATGCATTTCATGGCCAACAATAATCTAGCCTAGTATGCAGTCTAAATTACAATGCACATAGTTACATAACCAGCAGGCATCCTTAGATCTTAATCTCCATTAATGTTTCCTGATTTGGTATTTGATATACCCATATAACAAATATTTCATAACAAATATTTCTCAGAAGAGTCTTATTTACTGCAAAAATACTCCTTCAAATAATTATTTGGTGGGTTGTTGTAATTTACTATACTTACCCCAAGCTTCTAAAACGTTTCCATTTACAGTAATGAACGAACAAATAATTCATGCAAACAATCATCAAAGTTACGTGACATGACTTGCTTTGTGATGATATACAACGGTTATACCAATAATGCCTCTTACCGAGTCGTAATGCCATGCGATGGTTTTCGAAAGAAGTGATTAGCAATGTTTAAAAGGTAAAAGAAATGTTGAAAGAAATGTCCAGTTGGGGACATTACACACAAACAATGATTTGCCAACTGCATGTCTTGTCAGTGTAGTTTCGATTTTTGCAGAAATTCAGTCATTTTAGTTTAAAGCTAGTATAGGTCGATTTTTTCCACCATTATTATGCTTGAGTTGTGGGAAGCAGGATAAAATAGAATTCTGAAAATTATATTATTTTTGACAATTCCAATGTCATGATCGAAAAACTTTCCTCCTTTGTGTTTTTTTTTTTTTTTTTTTTTTTTTGAGTGGTAGCGGAAACTATAACATGGTCTGATCAAGTATATCCCTCCATTTTAGCTATTTTGCTCAACAACCAAAATAATTTATTGGCGTGGGCGGGGAGAGCTATTATTTCGAGCACTGAGGGGGTACCAATTACTTTTTCAGACACCTAAATACGTATTATAATAGAAATTTAGATACATTATTTTAACTTGAGTGTACTGTCAATTTATATTGCCACCGTTTACTTAGTTTGTCGGTCAAAAATAACTACGTAGGTCGTTTTTTCGGTTAGTGGGCCAGTTTGAGCTGACGAAGGTCACTGACCAGACGTCACCCTGTGTGACCCCTCCACCGGTTTTGCACGTACAATTTTTTATAAATTTCTTCGTCATATTTCGCAAAACCTACCTCCAACGCCCAAATTAACTTTGGCTGGATCTTTATCTTCCTTGTAACGTGCCGTAAGGTTGAAAACGGCAACCGGTGGGGCCATATCGACGTCTTTAAACACAGACATGTTCACGGTTTTCTGCTGCAGCTTCTGATGGAAGGTCAAGGGTCGCACCGTTGTTATGTGTTCTAGCGCATGCGCATAGTCAGTTCTCGCAAAATCTCGCGAGCTTTCAAAAGAGCGGCTATTTGAAAACATTTTAAAATTTGAGAAACTTTGTTTTATCATACTGTCACACGACTGGGATTATAAACTATAAGGTGCGTAAGACAATGCATGTAATCTTTTGGAGGTCCATGGTCAGATAAGCAGAAGAGAAATTTAGCGTAGTTTCATTGTGATTCGTTTCCATGTTTTGGTTTTCGTTGATCATGAAGTCTTCATTTTGATTTCAGTGTAAATTGTATATGCCTATTTTGGGAACACCTAGTTATCAAGAGGGGCATACACAACTGAAATGGGGCTGGAAGGTTATGGTTAGAGTTAAGGTAGTGTTTTAGGGGTCTCTAAATTATCATGGAGATAAAATCATTCTACCAGACATCTGCGATGGTAAAGTTAATTAGCAGTTCTACGGTGCTCTTCTATGATCTTCACAATACATTAATAATAAATATTAGTACGAAGATCACAGATCATTTCTACCACTGCGATATGACAATTTCTTCGTGTGGTTTGTTACTGAATACTAGTAGTAGTCAATATATAGATTTCCCAATGTGCCCCCACTCCTTACCTTAACTCTAACCATAACCTTCCAGCCCCATTTCAGTTGTGTATGCCCCTCTTGATAACTAGGTGTTCCCAAAATAGGCATATACAATTTGAGGGGCAATTATGCCAATATATTGTAGGGGTCAGGTTAAGTTAAGATTAGAGGTGGGGATTTGTGTTATATCTTTTCCATAGGAAACAATGGTAAAATGCTCTAAACAGACAAAACATGATATTTTCACTGTATTTTATTGATTATTCTCTCCTAACTGTGTACTGACAGTGACCATATATTTTTATTTTATTTTATTTATTTTCTTCATGATTGTAACATGATATATCGAATAGGTAAAAATAAAGAAAATAACTATTTTTAATTTTGTGTTGTGTTCTATGTTGAGGTTGTGATGAAGCAATGTTCTATTCTATTGTGAATCACTGCATACTAGGAATGTGATATAAATAAAGCTTATAGGTATTTTCAGTGATTTAAAAATAAGAAATGCCAGCAGGGTAATATTTTTGTACTTGTTAAACATGTTGACATTGTTCTTACTTCAGCCATATCGGTACTAGCTGTGAGTCCATAACTTTTCTTGTTTCGATCTTTAGTGATTTTGAAGGTATTTTAGTCATTTCTGATGTATATTTTGTCATTAAATTTGTTATTTTCAAGTATTTGGATTTTTGACAACACAGAAGCGTTATGGTTCCTCCCATAGATTTGCGTAACACAAACATGCAATGTCAAATGGGCTTTACTGTATGTATTCTATTAAATTCACTATTGGAACAGTTTTCCTGGTGCCTAAATAATCTGTTTTCGATCTTTCGTAGTCGCGTAGCTGCTTTTTCATAGTTGCAACACTACACAAAAATTCAATATTCACAAATTTCTAGATTTGTTCGACTGGCCCCCAGCCAGCAGTCTGATTGGTTTTTAACTCACTTGACCTATTAGGTCAAAGGACCCAGTTTCAGGTCAACTTGTGCATAGTGTATTCTAAAACATACTTTCACAATAAATGAACTTTAAGTTTACATTTAATTCATAGTAAACCAAAGAAATATGTTTTTTCTCTCAAACCATGACTGAATGCTGTTAGAACCTCGGGAAAAGTAAGTTATATTTGTGTGATCCATCCATGGTAGTAGGTAAACGTTTGTGTGATGTTTACATTCTTCCACTAGCACACACTGTTAAAAAATGTTTGTTTTCATTTCACTGTACCATTGGTTTAAAAAGAAGAAATCACAGGTAGACGTAGAAGTTTTAAAAAACTAAAAATAGCACAATGTGTGAAGCTAATAATTTATGAATCTGCAAAAAAATTAGATAGTAGAGTTTCTAGAGTGTTAGGTGACATTTTAGAGTTTTTATGGTAATGGAACATCAAATCCATTAAAATAAAATATTTCTCCTTTACAGTCATCATGCCATCCAAAGAAAAAGCTATGACCATGAGGGAAGTGTTTGAAGAATGCCAAAAAGGGAATTACCATCATAGCAAACTATTAAAAAGATGCAGACAAATATATGATGAGGTGAGTACTGCATCTAGACGAGAAAATTGATTTTATTTTAAATAATACATGTGTAATCTAAATTTGTGTTACACTGATTGTTAACATTGGAGTTATTTACGATCATTTATGTCTGCCAAAATAAACTAGAAATTAGTAAAACATTATTGCTATATTGCCTACAGTGAGTGGTTTAAGTTATACTGCCACCTTTTCTGCTTGGTCTACAACACATTGCAAGTACAGTCCAGCCTGTGTTTAGGGTCTATATAAAGACTATATAGTGACCTCTTTTTGCAACAGTACCATCTCATTATTTTCATGACAAATAGTATTTTAAATGCATCATTGGCAATCCATAAAAAAAAATAATCCAACCTGCTTACAAAGACCATTTTAATGAATTTTATTGGGTGATCGCTTTAGGTTTGGCTATATCAGGAAATTAAGTCCTGAACAACAAAATGGCACTATGGTCATACCTTGTGCATATTATGAGGTTATTACGAAGATACCTCAAAGTATGCACAAAGACAGTACAGCGGGAGTATCAACCAACACACAATGGAGGTTGATGGGACGGTGTACTGTCTGAGTGCATACTTTAAGGTATCCTTGTAATAACCTTATTATTATACATCTTTTCCTTCCAAGGATGCATCATGGGAATGCCAAAATCCAAAATGTTTAGAACAGAATCAGCAAACTTCTTTGTGTGGAGTCTGGTCAAACCCTTGTGGCAGCCATGTTTGTTTTTATTATTAGACGCTTTCACACGTAATCATTCCATATGAGGAATTTGCATCCCCTAACATGGTAGGATGAAAATACCTTGTAAAATACAGCAAAATTAGGGCACACTGTAACTCATGACGTTACAGTGACAGACGTATAATAAAGATTGTTATTTAAATGTAATTATGCTTATTTCAATCAGATTCATTGCATTGTTACCGATAATTAGTAGTTGTTAGTATGAGTTGTATTTAATCATATTATCATCATCATCATAATTTTTAGTATTCATATATATATATACTTCTTGCATTCTGTGTCAAATGTTGTTAAATTGTAAAAATTTTGAACATTTGTAGACTGACGACAAATCTGACTTCAATAAAGAATTCATCCACTATCTAAAATATGCCATAATAGTGATGAAAAGAGAGCCTGCTGTGGAACGCATGCTGGACTTTGCTGCAAAGTTTGCCGTTTCCTTTGCTGATGAATCCCCAGAAAGCAGTAGAAATGAATCCACCATCTCTCAAGATGAAGGCAATGAAGACTCGTTCTTGCAGTTTTTCTTTAATTTCTTTCTCCAGGTAAATGGTGTATTTACACAGTCTACTTTGTGTTAGAGTGATTGTGTGTTATCTGGTATTTGCTCACATTGGTAATCTTGTGCAAGGTTATTTCAAACTGATTATTGAATTGATCTTATGAGGTTAACATGAGAAGACCACAAAATATGCACAAAGGCAGTACAGGGATTGTATTTGACACGTAGAAGACGTTGATACTATTTGCATGTCACACATATGCAAATGGCTGAATAGTGGGCATTTTAATGTTAAAAATTCATCTTAAAGCAATTCCAGGCACTAATTTGATGCCGAAGTAGTGCTAGATGTTGATAACTTACTACAATAGGTTACACACTTTGTTTTCACATTTACATAAGTTGTTACAAATAATGCAGACAGCATGTCTGCAATTTCAAGCGCGCCGGAGAAAGCTCCGCCCATAAAAGTGGCAGTACATTAGTTTTGAATTTCTTCTCCAATAAATGATTGAGGCTCTCAACTTAGTTTCCTACTTCATTTTGCGTCCACAGCCCCTCAACAAGAGACTGTGTTGCGTAACATGTTATTTCAGTGAGAGGGGTGCATAAAGTTGCGGCACTGTAAAGAACGTTAGTTATTTTACAGAACCAGCAGACCAACTGATCATTGCAGAATTGTTAATCAAAGTGCATTAATTCCTACTATGGAAATATCTGTATAACGCTGATCCATGTAACTGAAAGCTACCTGCAACAAATGTCCTATGAAGACTTGTCCAGTATATAAATAATGAAATTGAATACATAAGTAGAATGGGTGTTATTCGATTATTAGTTCTCGACGATGAGAACCAAAAGATTATCACTAGCAACACACGATTACAAGTCCGGGGAGGATTCGAGTAGTTTTTGTTGAATTTCCCGTCTGTAAATGCTCGGTCTCTACGTTTTATAATATTCAACATAGTCTATAACGTTGTCAGTTAGTATTTTAGTCGCAGATTGGTCGCTCTTGCGCTTTCCTGGCAGGATACTCTTGTGGTAACAAACCGTTTGACGATATTATATATTTACTATATTTTATAGTATTTGTATTTCTTTGTATTTATGTTCCTTACCACACAAAAACCCTCTAAAGGTTTTTATTAGTGTCTTCGATCTCCAATCTCAGCAAATGACAGTCCACGTAAATACAAATCGACAATTTTTGTTCTCATTCAACTGTTTTTTCGACTCCTTGCTTCTCTATCGCGGTGTTTAAACAACATGGACAAATGCCGATTTGTAGACACGCAATCAACACGATGACTGACCAAAAGTGACTGAGGACAGACGTGCCACAAAGTCTGGGGCATCGAACTTTGTAGCAAAAGTAGAAAACATTGAGGGCAATATCTGTCAATCATTCTTCTGATTTGCAGCTGATGTTTATATTTTTAGTTACAACTTATGTAAATGTGAAAACAAGGTGTGTAACCTATTGTAGAATGTTATCTATATCTGGCACAACTTCAGCGTCAAATCAGTGCCTGGAATTACTGTAATACAAACATCCAGGATTATGGGAACGTAATGCATGTTTCTTTGTTTTTGGATTGGATTTAAAATGGGTGCCTTTAGGTCATTTTGTTTAAACTTGGTTCCAGAGCTATATCTCCGACATGTCCTAACTGATCATGTTCAAACTTTACATCCTGCATGTGCTTCATGTCGCACATGTGTATAAGTATTCGTTTGGGTATCCGGCTAAATGGCTGAATTATGGTTGTTTTAATGTTAAAAATACCTCAAAATCCATCATTTCTGCTATACCAGATGTGGATCTCTGTCATGCTTTGGCAGATTTTATTCAAACTTAGTATATCAAACCTCATGGGACCTTAATGTATGTCACTTTGTTTGTAAGATCATGCTGGTGGCTTTTTTGTTTCAGTGAATACAGTTTTAGAGCCATATTTCTGACAGGGACTATGTAACGCAATTACATGTTTTAACACTAATTGAAAAACTTTGTTAAATGATTGTTTTCAGTTTGAGAACAGCCCTACAAAGTCATTAACATTTATTTCAATGTATCAGATGAAAACAATCATGTCTCTTTTAAAAAGATAAAAATATTTGTCATTTACCCTCTTCTTATTGGTATAAAAACTTGTCTTTGTAACCAGCAAGCAATTCACTGCATCAGACTGAAATAACAGTCCTGTGGGTGATTACAAAATTGTCTAGTTGTTTTATACATGTACACAATTGTATACTGTGAATTAGGTTTAGCTTAGCTGGAATATATTTTACCTGAAAACCAAAAATTGGGCTGACACATGAAATTTATTTTTCACTAAATTGTCATAAATGACATACACATCACGAAGAGAAACATTATTTTTGCTGATTTAGCAAAAATAGCAAAAATAAATACCGGTAGCAAGAAAAAAGTATTACCGGTATACAGTATTGTATGTTAATTACTGATAACTAAAGTATTTGGAATGCCTGTATCAAGTAGATTGCTGTGGTACAAATGTTAAACAATATTTCACATCTTTTACAGTCTCATGGTGCAAACTATGCTGCCGTTAGATTCCGATCATGTCAGATGATCAATAAATTGCTCAATAGCATGGGAGACGACGCTCAGATTGATGATAATCTCTTTGATAAAATCTATGATAACATGTTGGTTAGATTGAGAGATAAAATGGCTTATGTACGTGTCCAAGCTGTGACTGCTCTAGCCAGACTCCAAGATCCCACCGATAAAAACTGTCCTGTCATTAAAGGTACCATTAACCTTATTTTTGCTCATTTGTTGGGTTTTCAAGGTTGTATGAAACGTGACACAATAGATTACTACATGCACATCTATGTGCAGGGAATATGGGGGATAATAACCTGGTGTAGGCGCGAAGATTCCTTCATTTGAAGATAAGACTACTGTACTTTATTAGAAGAGCATTATAGACAAATAATGCATTGTAAATGGATCATTAGAATGTGACCTATTTTGACCATTATATAGATGTGTCTTCATCATTTGTATGCGTGCACACACTTCTAACAGAGCAAATACAGTATTGAACAAATATAAAATGAATATTTAAATGACCTTTGCCAGTGGTTTACATTCACAATTTGACACTGAGAAATGTTTTGATTTCTGCTATAAAAAAACCACAGTCAATCAATTTGAATACCAAATACCAAACCATGATGTGTTCGATGTAGGTCCTCGTACATGAAATTTGAACATGCTACAAAGGAATTATTAACTTATTGTCAATGTTCACTAAAAAAAACTTTTTGAAAAAATTTTGTGAAAACAAAGCTTTAAAGGAACACTGAGAGAAAGTTTCACCATTTGTTAATTGAAGGACATTTGTGATAATTCTATTCATGTGGGAAAACCTCTTGTAAAATAAGGTTGGCATGTTATTTGTGTTTCAGCCTACATGTATATGTTGAACTGTGATCCTAACTATGAAGTGAGACGTACTATCCTGAACTGTATAGCTCCGTCTGCACAGACTTTACCAGTTGTACTCAAACGCACTCACGATGTTAAGGATGACGTGCGTAAACTGGCATTTAATGTTCTAGCAGAGAAGATTCATGTGAAAGCAATGCGCATTTCTCAGCGAGTGGAGTTGTTACAAGATGGGTTGAATGACAGATCAGGTACTTTTTCTTTTATGTAAAACAAAAACTCATATAAACATTCATTGGTTTCAAAGTGTCTGCATTAAGAATCTTTGGTAATGCAATGGTTCTAACACAACTGACTAATATTGGTCACACAATTAAATTTGGTGTGGCTATCAAATTCAAGATTGTTGTAACAATACAGATGTTGAGTGACAAGCTAAATTGTGTATGTCTTTTATACGGTATCACACAAGTCAACATTAAGAAATTTCAACAAATTTCTACAACAGCAGCTCGTTTAATGACCAAAACTAGAATGTTTGATCACATCGCTAATATTCTACATAAGTTAGTTTCTATAAAACAACGTATTGAATACAAGCTCCTTCATAAGCTGCAAAATGCATTAGTTATTGTCTAGATTTTAATTCACACCATTGAATAAGCAGTGATCATCAAGATCAGGTTTATACCTTCTTTTGCTGAAATCAAAATTGTTGCTCATTTGACTGCTCAGTGTTTTGTTTCAAATATAAAACTATATACATGTAGTTTGTTGGGGGTGTAAATCTTGTTTGTAAACAAAAATTTACTGAACAACAGCATAGCACACACATGGCATTTAAAATGCAGAATACAATGTACACTTAATTTTACAACTTCTAACTTCTTTTTTAGAGTTGGTGAAGCAGACCTGTGCAACTAAGTTACTTCAGGCATGGTTGAGAACCTTTCAAGGCAATGTCATTGATCTATTAAACTGTCTGGATGTGGAAAGCTCCAGTGATGTAGCTGAACAGGCCCTCAACAGTTTATTCAAGTCAGTACCTGCTGATGAACTGATGAGCAATTTTGATCTGCTCAATGACAAGTAAGTGAACTTGCGAAATTCTTTTTAAAATAGCATCAGGTGTCAGCCAGACTTCTACCATCAGGTGCTCCAAAAGGTAAGGAGTGTTTACCATTATTTAGACAGGTAAATGCCTTTTGAGTGAATCAGTAAACAAATGACAAAGATGTAAATACATGTAGTAGATTAGTACTAGAAAGTCGCAAATGTTTTGATTGCTTGCAAAGTGTCTAAAGACTTCTTTATTATTTTTGTTTTTGTATTTATTTTTTAAACTATAGAATTGAAACCCTTCATATAAATATTATAGAATTGAACTCAAACTGTTTTTACAATCCAATGTTGATTAGATATGTTTCTTGTGGTAGATTTTGGCATGAAGAATCTTGTACCTCTAAAGTCCTGTGTCATTTCCAGATTGTCAAATTAAATGGGGATTATTGTGTGATTGCATGGCCACAAGACATGGGCCCTTAAAGATCTAATATTGATCATATTGGTGATTTTTGACTCCCATGTGCGAAGCACAAAATGGGAGTCTTTGCAGTTAGTGTGTCTGTATGTGTGTGTGTATGTGTGTATGTGTGTATGTGTGTATGTGTGTATGTGTGTATGTGTGTGTGTGTGTGTATGTGTGTCCGACTGTTCCACTGCTATCTCAAGAACCATACATCGGTTTTT